ATGGGAAGTCTCGGGTCGTTACACTGGTGACGGCGGGAAGCGAAGCCTACTTTGTTACGACTTCCGTCCTGACGCTCACGGTATGGGATATGTATCCATGGCTCGAAGGGAGCGCATATACTTCGGGCAGCAGACTCTCTGAATTCGTCACAACAGAAGAGCCGGGAATGTTGCCTGCATTTGGCTCCACCCTATTCCCGTGTACCGCAGACAAGCTATTGGTAACTGTGATGATGTGATGACAGCCGCTAACCATCTGGAAAAGTTTCACTTCAGAGTTCCCTCGCCACATTCGTGCATAGGTGTCGGAGATGGCACTATACCGGATCTCTTTCCATTCAGGACTGTTTAATTTTGATATCTCTGCTAAACATCCTTTTTCAACCAAGTTTCCAACCCCTAGTCCTGAACACAATGGATGGTCAGCAGTTATGCACGATCCTGATTCCTATCCTCAGACCGAACGTAGCCTCAAATCCGGTTGAAGGTGCTGGGAAGTTTAAATACAGTCCTTCAGTCTCATGGTGGCTGACGACTGGTGCAACTGGGTTGTGAGCGTTTCCTTGCAGTGGTGAAATGGTGAGATGGCTGGCGCAGCAGGTTTATCGAAGGGAGCGCTGGGGACGACGCTCAAATTAGGGAGGAGCAATGCAATACTGTGGCATTCGTCTTGCGCCCAATCTCTTCTTCGCTCCCTTGAATGGATGGAATCAGCCCAACGTAATGCATTCTTTTACGTGGTGAGAAGTCTAGAGTGGTCTGCAGCGTATCATCTTTGCGAACTTTTGTCTATGAATATAGGACTAAAGGCATATAGTTAGAATATGGTAATTACGCTCATTCTTACGCTACATCGTCATGACATCTACTTTACACACGTGGTCGTTTTAATTGGAGTTTGTATATATTTGCCTACAGAGAACCTTAAGCCGTTGCGCTAAATGCAATTAACTGAAGTCTCAAAGGAAAAAATTTTAGGCGCGTAGATTTTTTGAAGACAATAGAATGTGTATTATCTAAGCATTAAAATTTTTTATTTAAACCTCTTTGAATTGCAAACAATTTCAAAGTATGTAACGCCGTTTTTGCAGTAAAGATGCTAAATTTTATTACAGCTAGCTTTTAAAAGCTTGGTTTTATGTTTAATGAAAAGTAATTTTGTATTGCTTTGACTTTTACTTGACTGTGCATAAGTCGCGCAATCCAAGGCAGTGTTCTCTCCGTCTTCGGAATGCATTTCTTAAACATTATTAGAGATGAAATATGTGCAGCTGGTTTGGATGGAATTCCGATAGCTCACCTTTGGAAAGTTTTGGAGGAACCCATAGTTAACTTTCCTCTGACGATTGATGCAGACGCTAAGGAATTTTTGTGGGACAAAATCAAACGTTTTAAGAACTTTGAATTTTACGTTCGGACCAAGGATCCCCCTCCTTACGTATTCTTCGATAGATTTGAAAATTTTGATGATATATCGCATGACACTGCTGTGAGTTAACTTTGATTTCCGATAACTTTGACATAGCCCCCCGTTCTTGAGAGGAAATTGTATCCTGTGAAAGCAGAGAATGTGTATGGCTCATGCGCGGATTTCGAGACTCGTCATTGTGTTAGTTCCGAAATATTGGCGGAAGATTTTACGTACGGCAGAGCTTTTAAGAGGTGGGGCTCTTTGGAATCTTATTTTGTTCAGATGGGGTGATAGACTTGTGGTTGTTGCCTCTCAGCCCCTTCGTACCTTGTTTCTCACTGGATCTGAAACTCTGCACTCTTCGATTAATGCGAAGCTGTATCGGATTTTGGAGCTGGTTGCGAAGTATATCCTCTTCAGCTGTTTATGTTCCACTTTTTAGGTCGAGGTACAACGGCATTCCCATTTCTGGGCATGACGGTATACTATCCTACGGTGAATCTTCCTCGACCGTTTTTTACATTCGCAAGCTATTCAGTGCTGATGGATTAATCAAGTCTCAAGTACGTTGGCAACGCGTTTTTTCATATTCATTTCAGCCCTTCATAACACATGATTCCTCGCGAAAAAATATGCGACGGACTACATTGCTTCATAGTTTTCGATTCTTTCGACCACTGACTTACCCTCTAGCAATAGTCATGGAGAAAATTTCTAGACTACTCTCCGAGACACCCTCCAAAATGATGCTGCCCTATACCATGCGTCAGGTGCTTCTTCTACATTGGAAATGATTCCTTTTCTTTTGGCTGTACTCCAGAAATAACTTTATTTTTCCACCAGAGGTTTAACATGGGGCGGCGCTCCTTTATGCGGATTGTCAAGTTTGGTGTGCAACAGGGATGTCTCAAGGTCATTCATGTGCCCTTTGGGACTGCATGCGCTCTAATTAATGGTTCGGATGATGACTCGGGAGAGGTATGTGCAGAAATGCTTCGCAAAGAAGCTATAGAGCTGAGTATTCTCGATTCATCTCAGTCAGCCTCATCCTTACCCGAACCCACTGGCCGACGTTATATACGAGAAGCAGCGGTCATATACCTGCATCACCCATTTGATATTGAAAAGTATATGATCGAAGCCCACATTAATCGAGGCAGTCGGCCGGATTCTGTTGTATCTCTGCTCGGAGAAACCCACACTGAAAACACCGTGGTGCTGGACGAGTCCCTTTTCGGAGATGGGGAGGGATTAGCCACGGTAGAAGAAAGCGATGTATTTGCCTATGCTCCATATTGTGGGTTTCTCTTCTAGCCTTGTCGTTGGTGCTTACTCCGCATCAGCTTTATCATTTGCCTTTCTCTTTAGATGCGCCTCGAATCAATGGTGAGGAGTCATTCTGTGTGCAGATTTGCCGATTTTTGTGCGAATCTGAGGAGAAGCCCAATTCTCAACTGGCCGTGCACTTCAACACTTCGCACAAACTCGTCTCCAGATATGCGGATGCTCTTGCTGGTGTGGGAAAATTGATCACATCCAAGGTTTCAATGGGAACGACGTTTTCCTTAGTGCAAGTTGCTTTTCTGGGCGAACTCTTCTGCAATTCCTGTAGTAGTCACCGTCTTTTACCCGTTTCAGTCGTCGGTACACCACTGAAAAGGAGTCAATGGAGTTGCGACAGGCGCAGAAAGGTTTAATGTTTTTTACATCGCTAATATTTCGTTGAATCTCGATTCGTTCGTAATGTTTGCCTCGCTTTTCAGATTCTAAGGTCGCTGATCTAATTTCATTTCGTGAGTTATTCGTTTTTTGTTTCTTCATAAGGCACTTTTTTGATACTATCCTTTATTTTTATGTTAACACCTGTCCAGTAAAACTACTTGGTCGACTTGCTATGCTACAGCGAAGTTTTTTTGAACCGTTGCATGACTTTTTTGTGTTATTTTGCCATTTATCGGACATCTATACCTCTATTCGTTGGGGTCGACAGTACTGCAATTTCACATTTTACCTACCGACAAATCACTTAATAGTTTAGCTTCGAATTGTACTCACTGTATCAAAACATTTATTTGAAACAATTTGAATGGATTCATAGTTTTTATGGTTTTGTGTCTTTAAGAAACCACATTGTTTCCTCGAGGAAAGGTATTTGTTTTTTATTATCTCGCCGTTTGGTGCTTCCACACACACATTTGTCTTTCTTGGTTTAAAGCCTTATGTAATTAAGTTTACTCACTGAACCGCTGCCCTTTTGACGGAATTGAGGTGATGCATCGTTCAGTCGATACCTCATTATTGGCAGTGGTTTAGCCTACTACGAAGTTATCACCGACATAACTCTGATTTTGTTTTCATCTTCCCCCATTTCTACCAACCGTTCGGTTTGATAGAGGATCTCCGTTTTAAGTAATGATGCGGATCAGTTTGATGTGTAATGAGCACCTCATTTATTGATTATGACACTAATGCAGGCATCACTGACCAAGCGATGACCTTACTATTCATTTATACACATGTTTTGGTAAGCCTTGGTGCCTAATATTCGAATGACTGGAAGGTAGACTCCAAAATTCTGGTAAATTTAATAGCCGCCGAAGGATATTCAAAACATCGGCCATGTAAAGCCCTTTCTGTGCTATTTTTCTGGTTTTTTTTACTTATTCTTCACTTTATACGTGTAGACAACCAGCGTCAACAGCGGAAGCTCTTCATTTTGGAAAGCTTGGAAGCTCGCAAGGTTTTCCCCTCTCTCCTTGACCTGCGTGCACGCATTTGGGCTCACGAGGAAGCGAAGGGACTCAAGGGTCGGATGGATCGTAAGTCCCTGGGTCGCATCATCGACGATTTGGTGCGGGAAAAGCGAATCAAGTTTATTGATATGGAAATTGTGGGCCAACGCCATGACGGATCGCCACGAAAGGTCGATGTGCGTTACCTGTTCACTATTTTCCGTAGCTGTGAGGAAAGGGTTGGTGTCTATTTGCTTTTCATGCAGTAAATAGCCGTTTTTCATTCATCGCCCTACGGAACTACTAATCCATTCTGGCTGTTATGCGTCCAACACGCTGAATATTGACAGCTTTGAATACCTCCCGAGGTTTTGAGCTGACAGCCACCACCATTGGTAATGTCACTGGCAGGCATAATTGTATTCCTAATTTTAACACTATTAAAAAGAATTTACTACGCCTGAGCATCTTATCACAATACAGTTATTGGCGTGTCCTGTGGGTACGCTCTTTCGCAAAGTTGTGTATCTCTGCTGCATGCATGCATCACCACTGTCGGCTGCTCTCTTAGCTGGACTTGTTCTTGCATATTCATCTATCAGTTTGCTTTGATACCTCCAATCTATTCCTATCATCGTGAGTTGCACTTGGATCTTGGTATAAGGTTAGGCATTCAACTATACCAAAATCGTTTTTCTTGCTTTCCAATTCCATTTTTTACCCTTAACAGCTGTTATCACAGTAAAACTAGTGCCTGGGTGACAGCGTTAGTGTGATTTCATTCGCGAGCGGTATTGTGACTGTTTCCGTCCTTCGATGTCATCCTCCTTATTGTTGGCATTTGAAGTCTAGGAAACCACTGCCCAGTTGCTAGGAGAGAGCAGATCATTCTTATGAATTCATTCGAACCCTGGTATTGATCCCCAACGTAGGCAATGTTTGTGTAGGGTTGCTGCCACTAGTTCAACCATCTGCTGACTTTCTTCCCCATTATAGCTCAGACTCGTTTGCCACCCAAGCGTCGAAACTGACTCACCTGAACTGGTCGATTGTTTGATTGCGGAGAAGAAGCGTTACACACTCTCGCCTCGCCCCTGCGGTGCTCTTAGACCCGAGGAGGCCCTTGTCACTGCCGAAGATGATGAAAATCAGGAAGCTCTCTCCACTACCGCCAACGTCTCTGTTGATCTTGCACTTACTAAGAGGGTTTGTTTCCTCGGGCTTCATTTCCGATTGAATCTGGTAACAGTGATGCTGTTGACTACTTTACTGCTTTGGTCCTTCAGGATCTGGAACTCATTCGTCTACCGGACCGAAATGTCTCAAAATTGAGGAGGCGGTGCCTTTTACACAAATTTCTTTTTTACCTCCTTAACGAGCTGCCGGCTGACGCTCAGGCGATCCCCACTTCGGTCAGCTTAACTTTACTCTTGACGACTACGCCTTGTCTTCTCTCAGCTTGTAATTCTTAATCTTTCTTCTAGCCCGAACCCTGGGCCTGCGTTTACAATACGGAATCAGTCACGTACCGCTATGTGCCGCCTGTTCCTCGAAATGCTGCTGGTAATTCGTTTTTTTTCAAATGAAAGATATGTCTACGTTTATTTTGTGTACTCATTTTCATTCCTTCTCGCTTTTTACAGAGTCATCTTATTTAAATTTATTAAGTAGTGACGTTTTCTCCATCAAGCGGCCTTACCTATAAGGGGTTTTGATTTACATCTCTTTTTCCTAACTTTCGGAGTTGTAAACTCACCCATACGGGTCCCTTTGGTTTTCCCTTGTTCACTCCAAAACCAGCAGAAAAACATGCTCCTTTTTGGTTCACTGCTCCACACGGCGACTTTTGTTTTTAGTGGTTGCATCGAAGTGCGCCTTTTTTGTTTCGCTATTTATCGTCTTACAAAATACTTCCATATTTTGCTTGTCATTGTTCATTTTATTAGCCTTTTCAAGAATAATGAAGTACGTTTTTGTAAACGACGTTGGACCCATTTTAAGCGGTGGTTGTCGTGCTAAGTTGCTCCTTCCTCAGGTGGATATCGGGATACCAAAACCAACAATATTTTGGAGATCGCGTAATCCATCATTAGCCGTCGCTCACCTCACGCGTTGTCCAATAAAACTTTTTAGCCGCTTTTTCTTCCAACTTTCTAGTGCCAGGTTGGGTGACCTTCCATGATGTGATTCAAGCCATGCCACTGGGCCTCTTCCTGGCTCTGGCGGCACCCATCACTGCGCCTCGTCTCCTCCTCCAATGGCTCTCCGTATTGAAGGGTGGAGAATCCAGTTTGCGGGCTGCAATTAAGAGACTACTCAGCCGACAGGTTGAACAGGCCGAAGGCTTTTCTCCTTATCGAGGAAAAGCTTCTGTTGCAGCGGACGCTTTGCGACGATTTGAGCTGTTGCGTACGCCCATGAAGGCCTGTCCGGTGCCTGGTGGTTACACTGGGGGACTCTATACCTGGCTCATGAGTCGGTATAACGTGACGCGAATATATGCAGTCGTGGAACAACTTTCTGGACACGGTCTAGTCACTCTTAACGGTCAATCTATACAGGGTCACTTGCCCATGGTAAACTACACCTTCATTATAATAGGTATTTAATTAAGGAAATTCTTACGTTGACAGCCCAATTATCTCTGAAGACGTTTTTTTGGTTGCCGCTTTTAATGTAGCATTATTTAATGTGTATTTGGCAGATACGGCCCATCCTGCCATACATAAAATTGAAGCAGTTGTCATTACTATCACATGTTCTTCATCGTCACTCTCCTGCCTTGACCGTCACGAACGGCCGTGGAAAGTTTAATCAATTTGGAAAGAGGAGGGATGTTGTTTACTTGCATTTCACCAAAAGTGGTTGTTATTTTCAAATGCAATAGTTGCATCTGTTCGATTTTAAGAAAGAGATAATTGGAGGAGAGAGGCTGAAATCTTTATCGCAATTGCTCTTCGTAGGGACACTAGCCCAAACTAAACCGGCTCCATAACATTATTGTCATGTTTAGTATTGCTTTCAATACCTTCGCGTTTCAATGCTGCCTGAGCGTTCATCTTCATTCGACTTCAATTTATTAGCCTACAGATATTGAAGTAGTTGTCAAAAAGTTTGCTTACTTTTAGTAGGCTCTGAAATCCAGAAGCCTACTTGATTCTTTCATAGAATTCCAACACCGTTATCCCAAGTCGAGTGGAAGTAGGGATGGTCTACTTCCATTCTTGAAGTACATTATAGCCTTAGTAACTTCATGTTACACATCTTTTAAACGATAGTGGCGTTGATTCCAAGTCTTAACAGATTGCTATTACTTCTTGGAAATTAAGCAGTTCAGTGAATTTGTTAACGTTTTGAAAAATCATTTGTTCTGTAAGGTTGCAATTACAAGATTTTATTTTTTTTTCCAAGTTTTTTTTTGTTGCACAGGATTGTGGCAACTAGCTTTGCGTTGGAATGGCTATCCTATGGGCGATTCTAGGCGAAAATAACCATCGTATATGCTTAAAATAGCCGCAATCTGAATACATTTTCTGAATTGAGCATTCTCATACAATTATTTTAGAGGAAAGGTTGAAAAATGATAGTCATAATTCTCTTCCAGGCCAATATTTATCTTCACCGTCGAGCAGCCCTCTTGGATACCCGTTTCGCTTCTCCCGCACATCATATCCTCTCTGATATTTCGGCGTGTCCACCTCCTCTTACCTATGAGTTTCGGACAATATCTGATGTGGACGGCTACTGGTTAAACCTCCGGGCTATCCTCCTCTTCACTCCCTACGGTTTCACTCGGTTTGCGGATCCTAATATTACCCAATTCAAGGACGTCAAAGCTCCCGTTCTCTCTGTTTCCCGTTTGCGTGATATCCTTTCCATCGACGAAGATACATCTAAACCACCTAGTTTACCTTCTCTCATTCCCACAACCCTCAGAAAGCCCTCGGTTGTGGCCAACTCTTCTGCTGTTAATGCGGTTCTTCGCGCGGTCGAAATGGACGAATCAAAGCCAGCTCAATTCATCCTTCGTGGGGTGGGAGGTCTGCACGCCTCGCTATACCTCTTCAAGGCTCCTTTTGAGGAGATAGGCTATGGAACTACGGACCAAGGCCAGTGCACCCAATACACGCCTCAGTATCCCTCACCTAATCTTCAATTGCAGCCGGTGGTGAGAGGTGCCGAATTGAAGGCAATTTTGGGGTCATTTGAGCCTGGGCTGCGTACCGTAGGCGACGGAGCCTTTTGGCCTTGGACGGTACAGATGTTCTTCGGTGAGTAAACTAGCCATTTTTGTGGTTGAAATTCAATTTTTGGAGGGGCGACTGCATTGGTAAAAATTAAAACGAGGAGGCAGTCATCAAATTTGCAGGTTGGGGTGAACCAGATGGTTGACTAGTTTTTCTACTTTACCTAATGTTGCTTTTCGTTATTTTCACAGGTACGGAACCAGTAGTAAAGCTTCAGCCCCCTCCTCTCTTGCCAGCCTGGCTCTTTTCCACACGTGCACGTCGATTTCCCTTCCACATCGCCCAACCAGATAGCAGAGCGGCGTCCGACCCTGAAAATCGACGCCACGTGAAGACGCCACGCCGTCGACGCAGAAAACGACGTCGAGTGACTAGAAACATTGGTGTCTCCAAATCTTCCTCCCCATCGACCACCTCCTCGTCTGATGGAACTGTTACTACTACTACTACTACTACCTCTTCTTCCTCTTCCTTCGAGGACAATTTGCAGAGCTCACCTTTCGAGGAACTCCAACCGATCGTTCGGTCGAGGAAACGACGTTTGCAGAAGAAAACCACAACACCGCACATCCATCGTAGTGCTTGTAGGTGTTCTATACTGGGATGGTTTTCGACAATGGGACGTTTTTTCTAATCTACCTTTTTTGTCCACCCTTTCTCTTCTAGTTGGTCGGCGCATAATCTCGAGCGACAAACGAGCGCGTAAGTGTACGATTTAGTGGGGATTTGCCTTTAATAAGGGTTGCAAACGTTTTATTGATTCGAAGAGGAGGGGTGTTACTGCTCTTATTAATCAAGTGCAGCCTTGTTATCACTATTCACGACTTCTATGGCTAAATATTGCATTTTAAATCAACGTTTATTCTCTCCCATCCTTTCTTTCATTTTACTTAAAAATTTTGAATTTAATTCATTGCTTTTTGATTACGTTGTTTCAGCGTACCATACCTCTCCTTTACTTTTATATTTAGTGGATGAGCGAGACGTCGAGATACGGAACAGTCTGCATGCTAAGCGTGCAAGTTGGAGTAAATTGGAGGATCAAGTGGTAATTCCTCAACTTCAATTTTATCCCTGTTCCTTTCTGTACTTTTTGCTTGGTGGGAACTTTCTTTTGTGTTTCCTCTTTAGCTGCTCACCTGCCGCGTGGCGTCCCTTTTTTTAGTTGGCCACACAAGAGAGTACGTCTGTATTCCCTACGTCATTGTTCGTGACATCCTCCATGAATACTTTCCTTTGGTAAGCTGAATTATTGTCTACTAGATGTTAACTGAAGAATTTTACCTATTTCTTTGTATCGCCTTTTGAGTTTGCTTAGTTGAGATGCCTGGAAGCTGCAGTTCATCGTCCCAAAACTAAAGTTCTAATATACCATCGAGGTTCCTTTTTATTTTTTGGAATGCTTGAAATTTGCTAATTGTACTCTTGTATATTTAAGGGCTAGGGTCATTGAAATAACCAATGTGGTTGACTTTATAGCTACAACTCATCGGGGCTATCAAATTGCTATTTCCTACTGTTTGCATCCGGTTCCCTTAGCGATTAGTTTCATTCCCACTGTGCTCCTTGTCAATCTTTTTGCTCATAAATTCCTCAGGTCACTATCTGGTCTCCTGCTAAATAACTGCTTCTATTTCTGTTGTTTTTCATTGCAGTTTGTCCATGTTCAAAAGCCTTAATAGGCTCTCGAGTTAGTTTTTGATGTCTTGCTCATGGCCGCACTACACTTATAATCGTAATCGAGACATTTTAAAGGGAGCTTGACTATACGTACCAGTAAGGGAGTTATCTGATCGTATAGAGATCCTCTGCCTTCCATTTCTTAGAGTGTAAGTATCTCAGCCTATCTGGTTGGTTGAAATTGGATTGTGTTCTTATGTTCCCAGACATCGTAGAAATTCGCCCTATTTATATGATGCTTTTGTCACGTTATCTCCTTCAAAGGATAGATGGCTTTGATGTATGAATGATTTGATCATTTTCTGAATTTTCTTTTCATCATTGCATTTTATTGTAGCCTTTCTTATTATGTTTAACTATCTGAATCGAAAATTATGGATGCCTCGTGGTCATCTTAATAGGTATTGCGCCTGCATATAAACTTACTAGCCTATATTTTTCCACCTGCATTTTTTGCCAGCGATCTTAGTGTTTTTCCTTTACTATCATTTGTTTCGTTAGTGTTTGATTTCCTCTCGGTATGGATTTGCTACGGTAAGCAGCCACTACTGATGAGGTGGAGTGTTCTACAAAGCCTCCATATTGCTGGTACATCACTCGTCGTTCCCATTTTTTATCCTCATTAGGAGAGCCACGATAAGACAAGTTTGGCTTGCGCTCGGCGACTGAAATTCCTCCTCATGCTTCGCAACGATGAGCGCACCCGGACAGACATTTTGCTCACCAAAGTCTCCAGTGATCCTGAACTTCTGACCAAGGTAAGTTTCCACGTAACTTCTCTCCTCCCTAACCTCTCTCCAAAGGAAAATCGAATTCTTTATTACGAGGTGTTTATCGTGCTCGTGGCTTCGGTATTGTTGTGCCAAGCCTAGAGGCCTTACAAGGTAGATTTACGATGGGTCTACAGAACTGGAAGTTTTATGGCAGAAATTTACATCACTCTCGCGGTTGTTGGATTTCATGGAACTGGAATGACTACGATCTAAATTATTTCCTTATAGTGGGCATTGCATAGTTAATTTTTCCCTTTTGCTCCTTTGGTGATCGTCCTGACCGCTATCAGCCATCACCCTCCTAGTTGAGGCATCGTCACTTCGATTGTAACTAATCGGAAAATGGGAATGAGGATCACATAGTGGTTTTCCACCAGAAAGACAACCAAATACCACCTCTCTACTTGCATATTATTATCGGCATGAGGTCATCTACTTTGTGCTTCTCGGTGTTGAACGATCTTCGGCCATTGTATGTCCACTTAGTTAATTTCATGGGACAGTTTTGCCTCAATGCTTCTCTTCAGCGGGTATGAGGTATTAAGCCAATGTTGGCCATCCTTCTATTTGTTGATAAGTCTCAAATTCTTGTAGCATTGAGTTTGTCCTGATTATAGTTCTATGGACCCATTCAACACGTGCAGCATTAAAACTAAGGGTTTGGTGCTTTTTAATAGCCGTCATAATTTTGTTTGCCTTTTTGTTGGACATTCTATCAATTCTATCACCTTCACTAAATGCACTCGTCTCGGGCTCCTACACCTGATGGCGTGACACTATGAAAGTAATTCCCTCAACAATTTCATAAAACTATAAAATCTAGGGCAGAAGTGAACTTATCTGATGTAGGCACCTATAAGTAGTTTTGTCCTACTCGTTTTTGTTGTAGTGTCTTGTATGTTTGCCTTCCTCTTATTGTTACAGTATGCTTGGCAATCTCTATGCAAGATTGAGAGGTGCATGTGTGTAAAGCGCAGCTCTGTATCAATTGCAGATGTTTGCAATAATTTTATGGTTAATCTCTCTATTTGATCTTCTGAGCACTAGGTCAAAATCTTCCTTAGTACTTACTTTTTTACCTCTTGAGGACCAAATTAAACGAATATGGGATAGCTTTACGATACAGATTTTGAGCGGACAGGAGATTATTACCGCAAACAAAACTTGTGCAGTCTCTCTCCAACCGTTGAGTTATAGTGAACTTTTCGTACTCATTCTTTTGTGGATCATTTTACCATTGTACAGAGACCGATGAATTATTTAACGAAATTGATGCTGTTTTATCGCACTACTATGCTATTTCTCCTACAGAGGAGCAGTGTAATTGGAGTGCTAACAGGCGACAAAACGGTGGGTCTGTTTTTGCTGCGTGATCTTGTAGTACTATTTGAAATGGTTGTGGTAGTTTAATCCCAATTGTTCTTTCTCCCCATCTTTTGATCCTACTTGTGCTTGCGTTTCATTCAGTACAACATCGGAAAAACGGCTTGGATACACCTCTACAACCGCGACGCAAGGCAAGCGCATCAATTGTTCAAGGATTTGGTGCGTCTCATTGTTAGGAATTTTGTTCCTGACCTCTGCAGCCGATGTGGTCACGTTGTAAACAAGTCTCTTGCGATGCGTAAGTTGATTGTTCCATATTTTACCTAGACTCAATTTCGTGCAATTTCTATGCTACTTCCCTTCCTGGCCTATGGTATCCCCTTTTTGCCACGCACCGCCATAATGGGATGTGATTAAGATTTGAATCAGCAGAATATTCATTCATGCCATGAGACCCTTTCCTTTTTGACGACCTTAATATTTGTTTCATTTGGGTGTTTGGTTTCTCGATCCTGCATTGGCAATGAAGGGACTATGGGCTCGGTTTTGAGGGTTAAGTTCAGCCAAATGAGATCTCTTGCCATTGAAAGCGAATTGGTTTCTATTGGGCTGAAATGATTTTTTTATAAGAACGCCATCTTTCTCAGTCAATGAAATAAATCCACTGAAATCTGCCTTTCTCTCTATTGGTAATTGTCAAGGCGATTACAAGATCCGTTTACTCAAGTAATACCAGCATGCTGCTTTTAGATCAGCTTTTACTCTTGCAGAATTTTGCTTTTTCCCTTTTTTTCACGAGATAAATAGTCTTGACTATGCTCATGCAGTTCATGTTTTGAATCATAGTTTGCGATCTTTGTCGATAATTTTACTTCATTTTTTCTCTGCTATATTTACAGCGGGAATGACAGTGGCTGCGGAATCAGAAGCTCAGACGCCCCTGCGCCTTTCTTCCGTCCGCGAGGTGCTTCTGCATCCTCGGGAGGTTCTTCACACCCGCTATGATTTTATCCTTCTCGCTTCCATAAACGACGACCGAGGTCTCCCAGATATTGGACAAAGTAGATCAGCCATCGTGGTGGAGGCTCTGAGAAACCTTTTCCTTGTGAGTTGCTTTATATCTTTATTTCCGATAAGTAGTTTACTTACTTATTTCATTAACGGTTTCCTCCTTCGAAGTACCAGTTATTGAAGTATCGGGAGCATTCACAATTTCCTCCATCATTTTTGAACGTCACTCTGAAAATTAAGAATACGGGTCTCGCCCATGTGCTTCAAAAGGTGTTAATCGGTTTATGATTTCCTCAGTACAATTCGTAAAATTGTATTGCGCTTTCTTACCAATTCCCAGCTTCCGTAGTTTTTCTTCCGATGTTCGGAAAGCAAAAGGACATGTTGGTTACTTATCCCCACACCGTTCATACGTCCAGATGGAAACGCTCCATTTGTGCACACGATCAAATGTAGACGTGATTCTTAGCCTCTTTAAGTCAAATATCTATTTCAACACAGTTTAAATGTCAGTAGGAAAGACTTCATCTTCTGGGATTTAGCTTGGGAAAAATAAGGAGCCTTTCTGATCCTGACTTTGCATAATGTCATTATATTCAATGATAATTGTCTTTAAGTCAGCGTAAATATATGCTTGTCGAATAATAAGTCTTTTATTCCCCTTCCTACCAGGGCTCCATCCGCTTCCGACCTGAAGCATCGCATCCTCACGACCCTGTGCTCTTCAACCGCATCCTCAAACAGTACCCCTATGAGCAGATGAGCGAGGCAGTGAAGTGTCTCGCCTCCACAGATTCGCTTCGCAAACACAAGAGCTCTGAAGTAAGTATGGCAATAAAAATGCATTCAACTAGTCACACTGTTGTCTCGTAGATGTCAGTAGGGTTTTGTAATTTAATAATAATTGATTTCTCGTTCCTTTCAGGACTGTGATCTCAATATTGCTGGCCAATTTCGTGTCAAGACCACTTTGCGGTATGTGGCTGTGAAGCAGCCCCTAGTTCACACCCACTTTTGTGACTATGTATTATTGGTTTACCTTATGTAGCTTTCGTTTTTCGGTTAACTTTAATTGTTCTCTTGGCACCTACCTATTCATTGCAGGCCATCAGATAAATGTATTGACATATTTTCGTCACATGTTGCCCTTAGAATTTCAATACTGTCTTAAGAGTTAGTCAAATCGCGCAAATTGAACTCGCAATTAATCAGTAAAGGTAGAGTTTTTTTTTTGCAAAAAGGATTCGAAAGGTATTTTCTCCTTGATTTCTGTAGGCTCTCTTCTTGGTGCAATGTACAGATGTTCATCTATATTCGCTTCTTCATGGAAACATGGAAATTGTACAAGCAGTTTTCTGAAGAGGCAAGGCGTCTTCGCGGGCGTCAGCGACGTCAGAAAATGAAGGAAGTGGAGGCGTTATCATCAACACCGCAGCCATCACCATCAAGTGAGTGGCTGGTGGCTAAGCATGAGTTTTCAGAACCCACGTCAGGCGGACTAGTGGCGACTTTCATGGAGATGCTTTACAGCAAATCAGTAAGTTGGTTTAAATCTAATGATAATATAGTGGAAAATGAATGGACTAGAGATTGTTCAATCATGTATGACCGGACTGTGGGTGAGGAGGATATGAATCCTGCATGCTAGGTCATGACTGCGGTCAACTCTCACTTCTATGCGCTCCTCTTTGTGATTTTTGATTCTCTATACGTTACGTAGGACTGGTTACGTTTGTAGCCGTCTTGACTACGCCTACTTTTGGAGTACACATCCATGTAAAAACTGATATGCAAACGAAGCAAAACTTTCATTAAGAGGCTGAACGTTTCTTGTCCAGCCACATGGAAGCTATTGATATCTCTATGTTTGTATGAACTCAACGGAATTTGACGAATTGCTGTTGGTCCAAAGTGTTTCATGTCGCAGCCGCATTGTATTTTTTTACGCTTTTTAACCATCACCTACTCACACGAAATTGACCACTAGTAAGGGTCTATGTTGCCTTCAGTTTGGCAATGATTTTGTTTTGGCTAAGGATGTCGGATTTTATGTCAGAGAATTCAAAAGGAGTTTTATTCCTCATTATAGCAGGTGAAATTACGGATTCGATTTGATATGAGCTGCATTAGTATTCTGCGGAAACCCTGTATGTCACTTGGTGAGCTTACTTTTCATTCTTCATATAAAATGCCTACTTATAAAGCATAAATAACTGTTATTGTCTTAATTATCCTAGAGGATCGTAAAAGGCACTTGCAAAGTGGCAGTGAAGAGGAGCACAAGTCCCCTGTTCCCAAGTTGACACGTAAGGGCACTCCACCGCACTTTGGCGAATCGACCCACATTGGGATGACAGTAGCTCTACTAGAGGGTGCAGATGGCTCTAACGCCACCTCAGCCATCACGGAGTCCCTGATGGATGTCCTCCTGGAGAGTGTTGGTGGGGTGGGTGGTCGGACGGTAAAGGGTAAGACTCCGCGAATCGATATTCGTCTCTCACTCAATGGGGGGTCAGTTGAAGCGGTGGCGCCGTCTGCACAAACTCATATCTCTGTGATTGATGGTATGTTATCTACCTTTTATCTTTCACGTTTACATCATCTTGTCAAACCGTATGTTTGTTCGTCGTTGACAGGCGAACCAGAACACAAAAAGATATGTCGTCGTGTTCTGGCAAAGTTTTTTGCACCGCTAAACTGGAATGCAGCTGCTGCGAAGGCGATGGCTGGTGAATCCGGCACCTCTAACTCTACTAATAATGCTTCTGCCAATACTGATGATAAATCTATTCGAGTACTGGACTTCATCTTTGCAGCAGGAGATCTTGGTCGAACGTTGGACCAATTGCAGGTATATTGAAAATTGCGTTTTCCGGATGGATATTACAACCTATGTCCGATTTGTTTAGGATTTATTGAAACTTAGTTGCGCTATTAGCCAAATGCCTTTGGGTTTGCTTTGAACGTGTTTACCATCATCATCACCTTAATCACTTTAAACAGTCTCAAATTTCCTTGGTTCCGATGAGGTTTTTAAAATACATTCAGAAGCACATCGTAAAACTATCTGGAAATGCATTCTTTGGTAAATTAGTTTTTTTATGATTTGATCGGTTGTTGGTTTGTCAAACGGATTTTCGTGTTTATAGGACAGATTTTCGGATTCTAAGATGACGAGTCACATTGTGCGTCGCCTTTTGGACGATCAAAAGGTACTTTCATCTTTTTGTTTAGGTATTAATGGTCCATTTCATGCAAAACTTATGCATAAGTCGTATCAATTTCAAATTCATTTTCTTCGAGCTCTTGCATAGACGAGATTCTTGTTTTCTTCATTCTGTACAAATCAGTTTGCTTTTCAGTCCAACAGCAGATTTTGTTTTCCTTTTACTGTTGACGTTGTATGTGCTCACTCTGAGTTAAGCCCCATGGTATTCTTCCTTGGTGCTCTCTAGCTATGTATTGTAGCGAGTCCATCCACCTGACTGTTCAACCTCAAACAATTCTCTCGGTATTGCACCGCCTTAAACGCCTGATACTTATTCTCATGAGCGAATTTGATGAGGTTATACAGAGCACTACATCTCCTCTTACTGTCTTTGAAAGGAAAGGTCGCATTACACTGTTTTGAACTGTGCCGCGATCTTTTCTTGGTCCCCAGAGCGCTAAGCAGCCCGTTTGCGCTTGATTAACGGAAAAACAAACGGTGTCATTTGAAAACAGGATGGCGTGTACCTCAGATGAGTAAATAGAGGAGTGGATGAACTGTCTGGAAGCAACCGCTGTCGCACTCTCCTATGTACTGAGCATTGGAATGCAAAATTACAAGTTAGAACAAGCCGCTCAGGCGCCTAGTCAGCAAACAGCCGGCAATCCATAGTGCATTTTGGTGTCGAGCTTACAGAAGTGCAAAACCAGCTGGCATGCATGACTCACACTTAGCTCCTGTCGCGTTCTTTCTCCTCTATCTTATTTCATTCCGATTGTATGTTATTATTTGCCTAAAAACCACGACGTTTAGCTCCTCTCACATTAACTTTAAATTGTTTTAAGCATTTTAAATGCATGTTTTGTTACTGTTAGGCGAGGAGGATCTCCTCAAACGTGAGAGAATTTAGTTGAGTTACCGTTGGTCATGATATATGTGTTCTGGGCGATAATAGTTGCTTAATTCGAGCCGAATCGAAGTTGCACACAGGCTCGATTTGCATTAGCTAGTTTTAATCCACCCTTTGAAATGTGAAGACTTAAAGCAAGAAGTAGTGGTAAACACATTGAGAGTCGTAGTGGCGTTAAACTGACGTGTCAATCTATGCTTCGTGGTTCACGAACGTAAACAGTTGTATGCATGCTTACGGACTGCAACAAATGACTTCAGCTGTGCATGCTGAAAGTCGCACGGAATTCGTTGCTCATCTTATGCTTTGCATCTCTCCAAGAATGCTGCACTGGCCTTCTATTATTTGCAGTATTTGGTGCTTTAGCATCCTATTCCATTCACTTAATTTTTTTGTGCTCGGGATTTGTGGACATTGTCACAGCCTAAGACAATGCTGATGGCCCTAAACTCTCCTTTCTTTGAAGCTGCAGTCATTGGCCAAAGTGTTCCCGATTTCTAGTAAATGTGATTTAAAAGGGAAAGGGACAGATATATTTCACAGTAAAATTGTTCCATCTTTCAAGTCAAGTCAAAGCAAATAACAGGAAACTTTATAGCTAAATTACCTCGCCAATCAATGTATCTTTTAAGTGGATATTTTTTATAGGTGCTCGGTTAAATCCAAGCAAATGTTCACAGCGGAGAACTTTTTGATGAAAGAGCTCTTTGTTTCGTTTCTACGTTGAAACCTATGACGTAGTGATTTAGCAGTCTTCGACTCTACGTTGACTATTTGAGGATGTAGTGATTAAATTATCTACTTTTGTCTCCCTTAAGCATCCGCTAAAATTACACGGGTCTTTTTGTTTACGAAATGCTCGCAAAACTTCATGGTGTTGAAATGAAGTCGGTGCATTGAATTTACCAACAGATATTCATGCTGGGTCTGACAGAGCCACGCTACGTTCACTGGGCGCACTTACGTCTCTGGTTGGTGCATGTCAAAGATCCCAAGAGTCAACATCAGCAAAATTCTAATCAGCAAGAACTGCATCAGGATCGCAGCACTTCAGACCTCAAGATCATGGCACCGCCAGTGGGCAAGGAGGGACCAAGACGGAAGCGCCTTGCCCTAGCTGTTAGTTCTGATTCTTTGGCAGCTCTTGAGCGGTCCTCGGAATCTCAGTTATCCAATTCTTCAAACGGCTGCATCGACGCTGGTACTGAGTAAGTAGCTACTGTTTTTTTCAATACATTTTTTGGTATTCCCCGTCCGGATACCAATGAGACAGACCAATTTGTGCACTTTCCGATTCATAGCGCCTTGTACCACTTTTACTTTCCCCGACTCTAGTTTGTTCAACTGATGTCTCTTATGTGCTTATTATTACACTAAATGTCTTTTTTAATTTTTTCACATCATATTTATGATTCGGTATAAGCCACAATGGGAGATTTAATCGCCTCATGGCGCGTTGATCGTTTAGTTTAGTGCATAGAATTCACTCGTAATGGCAATTACTTGGAAAATTTCACAAGCCGCTTATTCTTTTGAGTTTATTTAAGTGCTTTTATCGTCACTTGTCTGCAGTCATCTCTAGCATGAATTTCGGCATTTTTCTATTACTGTATTTCGTTTTGTTATAGATAGTAGTTTCAATTTTGTGCTCACTTTTTTTGCATTGAATTCGACGCTCTTTGCTTCTGAGGATCATTTAGTGTCACTTTCAAAGTTAGTCAAAGGTAAGTTGTGTAGAATTAGCATCAATCAACCCCTTCCTTCAGAAGACTAACTTCTTTGTAACACTACCTGCATCTAAATAATATGATGATTCCGCATTCCCTACATTGAGTTTTAATTCTTTTAAATCTACTCCTCGCCAGCTTAACGCATTCTGAGAGGTAGAGACTTGTACTTCATCCACATCTTCCAGCCGACGGGCCATTCCTCCGTGTTAAAACTTGGAAGTGTAGAATTAAGGAGGAACTGTCCATTATAAGCTCTAATGGCATCAAATTTACTGTCTCTTTTGTGCTCTTTAGAATCGTTCACATTTTTCATAACTTTTATCGATAAAAGTCCGACGTTGGACGTTTACTTGACTCTTTGTGTCAATTGGATGCCCTGGTGGGTTTAGAGTCCATCTTTTTGCGCTTGGACTACTAATCTTTAAGCTTCACCTTTACAGAAAAGGACTCTTGAACAGGACTAAATCAGATCGCATGGATTACTTCTTCATTCCCCAGCCCTGGATATGCGAATCCGGTAACATAAAGCCATGCTTCTTCATTCACCTTCTCCTTTCCATCTGCTCGATGATCTCGCGGCTCTCGGGTGCTCCCATGGATGTTCTTGCCACTCAGTATCGTCATATCCTATCTCCAGTCTCATTTCGCCTCCTTTGTCACGTAGGTGACTTGCAACTCTTCTACTGCTTCACTCCCTATACAGCGATAGCGTTTAAAGCAAAGTTAAGAATCTCTGAAATGTCAGACAATGTTAGCGTTCTCAGTAAGCTTAATTTACATTCAGTTGTTAATTGATGTATTTGCATTTGACTTGAAATCTATATGACAGAGTTGTTAGTGAGAACTACCAAAATTTAACGCATGAACCGAATACTCTAGTCAGTTTGCTAATGCGGGTGGTATCTCGTTGGAAAAAATGAGGCGATTGTCATTACCTTCCTTTCACTTTTCGAACAGCTCTTGTACGACACCAAAGTGGTTCGGATCACTCGTGTGGTTTACAACAAAAAATGTACCATCTTCTCGGAACCAGAACCTGTGATATGCCTTGGTGAGCCTTCTCCAAATGTCTTAAGATCTCATCATTATTACTTTTGTTGGGTGATACGTGCCGCGGTAGCACCTAGGCGATGGAAGCACTAGTGCCTTGGATGTGCATATATGGAATGGTTTATATGCGCGTTTACTCTCTTTTTGCATAAAGGTGATCAGCTACTACTGGCTCCTTCGGCGGAACTGAGTGTGGTTTTAGAGTCACACTTCGTCTCACGCATGAATACACTTGTTACATGCGCTACTGAACTCCTCGGGCTACCACCACCGGACTCCGCAGAACTCGCGGCTGCACCCTACGTCCAATTCGCTCGCTGTCGACTTCCTCGCGATGCCACTGTCCTTCGAGCACAGGATCCTGGCTCAACTACTACCTAAACTTTGTAAAGCTCTATAAGTTCGTCTGTATAGCTATTCCTCTTCCAATGCAGCTTTCAAGATGTACCTGTATAGATTTATATTCATAGTTTCCCTTGCCTTATGTACATTTGGTGTATGCTATATTTTTGCTATTGAGTAAATGGAGGTGAATAATTGCATCGTCTTTTGGGTTCCGTTTTGAATGGATTGCGAAAGTCTTCAAAAATCAGGAAATTTTGTGGCCATTATACGCAGTTTTTCAGCTTCATCTTCTTTCATGTCCACCCGCCATCAAAGTGAGAACACCCATCCTATTTGAATAGTTCATTGCATTACGGAGTTGGTCACTCCATTAGTGGTCTGCTAGCGGCTTGTTTGCTACCAGGCTGAACGTGTTGTTTTTGACGTTTTTTTTTGCACTTCTCTTGAGTTTTCACCATGTTGGGGATCTAGAATTGTTTTTAGCAAAGTGAGAAAGTGCTTTCTTGGCTCCGGCGCACACGTGGCAGGATAGTTATTGGCTGGGATGGGGCCGCTAAGTGTAATGATAAGTTGTGAATGTATTTTTTTGGCTTGAGTTTCCTGTGTCGGCGTCTCGATGAACAGTGTCCTTTCGGTTGTACCTTCGCTTGATTAAATTTATGCATTGTAAAGTTGAAAGCCATGCCTTACTGCCATTATCTTACGAGGTGCATTTGATCATAGCAGGTAAGCTCTCTGTAACTTGGATAGTGAAATTAGAAAGCTGCATATTGGCTGGGTACAACCTTATTATTTAATAAAAAAATTATGGCCTGCCATGTTGGCATCTTGTTGTTGTGATGTTTTACATGATAGGGCTTGGAGAACGCAGTACATATCCAAATGTTATAAAGAGAATCCAGGTTCCACACAACGCTTGACGGAAATATGACCTTTTTTTAAAAAAATAATGTATGCCATTTTTTTTGCTCCCTTTGGGAACGGCTGGGCCCACCTTTCTGTGACACTATTAGCTCAGATTACTAGAGAGGAAAAGGAGATGGGGAGCTTCTCCCCTATTTGGAGAGATGGAAGTTTCCGTTAAGCAAGCTCATTCCTTTTGCCCAAAGGATATCTTTAAGGTGGCCTGAGTGTTGGGACTACGCCTGGTGAGCGTGGTCTTGACTTTATCGACCATTGAAAATGTTAGTCACACGGCGGAATAACGAAGGCAACCAAAGGTGAACTTGGGCTGTTAATCTCACGTCTGAGCAAAGGCAGCTCGTAAGCAGACACCTACACATTTTTTTCTTAAGGCTTTATGCAATCCTCCACCCGTTTCTTTGACTTGGTGTTTTTATTGTGAGGGCATGTTAGGCTCCGCCGTTGACACGTCACCCGGTAGCATGGTCTTTGGAACAACGCACACAATTACTCGGTCCTCCTGTACATTGACAATACTTTTTCTGCCATAGCAGTAGGAATCTTCTTGACCGTGAGAAAGACTTTGGACTTGTATTGTTTTAAATGTGCTTTAGGAACTAGAAGCGAAAAACACTTCAACCCTCCGAGAAACAAGAGCTCAGAGTCGTCTGCTCCGGGAATAAGCTCAGCATCCGAATCATCCTAATTTCATGTTAGTCTTTGTTGAATCAAACTACTTCATGTGTTTTATTCTGCTTGTTCAATCGGATAGTATGATGACCACAAAGGAAGAGAGAACGATGAAAATATCGCAATATAATGCAGGGCTTTTGTAGTTCATTTAAGTTCTTTGAGTCTTTTTTTCTCACTGAATAGTTGTGCTAGAATGAATAGCAGAGGAATAAGCGATTTTTTCACTTCTATTTGCCTGAATGAAAAGGTCAAAACATTCAACTGATGCGCCCAAACTGACCCAAATTCGAAGTTGGTTACTTAGACGAAAACGATTATCCACCAGGGGCGCTACTGCGAGACATTGGCAGTTATATTAATAACATTACAAACTTAAATACTTGATTTGCACAATTGTTCCTCAAAAACATTAATCAAAGCGCTCCAATGCTTAAATCTCGAGATCTCATCTCTAAGTTGCGTTTATTCTTTGCTTTCACTTTATCAACTTAATGGAAGGAATTGTCATTTGCGTAGAGCACTGCTCTGAATTAAGCTGCAGTCATTTTCGGCGGCTTCTAATTGACACTCTCATTGGCATGAACAGTCCAATTAGATGAATATGCTGCATAAGCTTCAGACTCCCAAATTCTACTTCTACAGACGAAAAGTCGTCTTGATTCCATTTGCGACCATTACAAACTGATGTCTCATGCTCTGGTACTCTCCTCAAGGTGAAGGCAGACATCATATCATGGTAAAATGCGCTCAGCCAAACCGTAGAACTGAGACGCTACTGACGTGGCTCAGACTATCCCACCCAACCAAAGCACAAGAACGTAGTCGCAAGTCCGCGTGGAATCAAAACGAAGCACCCAAAATAAACACTGCACTACGAGTGAATCATATGAGATCCCACGGAACAGATCAACACCTTTTTCGAGGACTTTAGTCAAATTCTGCTTAAGTGACTTCAGTGAGCTGCTTCTAGGCATAAAGTTTAAAGACTCAAATTTCACTCACCCTCATTTCCTTTTAATTTGCCTTAGAGTAGAGTGAAATCCTACGATTTGCGTTCGTGTTCGAGACTGTTTCTGTTTCAGGGTCTCCCCTCAGACTCGCACACTTTTACAGTCCACGATCGTGAGCTTTTCAGTTTATTGATATCAAAGCTGTAGCTGTCCGGCCATGCCAATCAAAACACCAACGAACAATTTCAAACTTGCGTGTTAACTCACAGTTGCCACGGATGTATAAACTAAGGCATCTTGTGCACTTCCGCGCCGCAATTCTTATTTACAAATTCAAAGAAATGCCTTGTCAGGTGAATGGAACTAGACCATGCCACTACAATGTGAGCGGATAATCTGGCTTATCAAAGTCTGAACTAGTAGGTAACCATGGCTCTCTTCGCCGACTTCCCCCTAAACCTGTGGAATCATGAGACTGAGACTTGCTTTCAACGTGCTTAAATGCACAAATCCTAACTACATTGGGATCACAACCAAGAATGAAATAACGCAAATTGAGGCCCGTAATCACTGTCTTTTCCTCGGTATTAAAACAATGACCTCCCAAGTTGATCTTGACTTCGCAACCATACCTTGGAAAATAACTTAATGCTCCACCACGAAGCCAAAACCCCGATTTGGACACTAGTGATGCACGTTCTTAAGAGTAGACAACTGATGTCGTTATGACTGAATGACGCTGATTTGAACACGTTAATGGTATGCTTCGACAGAAGAGCGAAAACTAACGCAAACGAAAATTGACTAAGTGGTAATGTACAGTCATCTGTTCAAATAAGTAAGAGGCTACCTAAGTACAATGTCTTGGTTTCTCGCCCAAGTTTCTCTCTTGATTTCGTGAACGCTTAAGGCTTCCGCTACCAGCTGCGCTGATAGGTCCTTCGACTTGGAAAGCTAGACTATTGCAAGACGCATTGTTTAAACTTCAAATTAGTGAAGGGCAGCGCAAAGAGGTACAGCAGGACCGTATACATCCAGACAAAGGGAAGCGAAGTTCAGCAATGACCAACACAAATCGACATTTAGTCGAATCTAGCCTTAAAACACTTCGTTCAAGGTAAAAATGACAGGCGCGCAATCATAGTTGTGAACTGACCTTTTGAAATAGCACAAACCTTCCTCCTTCACTCCGTATAACTTTCAAACATCATGTTTTAAAGACTTTATCCGCATGCTAAATGCACACCTTCTATTACATAGCTTCGCTAAAAGGTCTAGATTTTAACCCACCACACTTAGCAGGGCAGGCTTTTGCTTCCATTAGCGTCTTCATGAATGTGAGGAGCACCTACAGCTGCCAGGGGCGCGTGAATCATCCATGCTACGCTGGATGACTAGTCATTGTGACGTGGACCCTGGAAACAGGATGAACACAATTGGGGTGGCAGCCACCCTTTTGGGCCAGACGTCTGAACCTCATTCAGACCACCAGCTCCAATTGAAGAGTGTCTCGACGCACAAAGTGGATAAGTTACTCTGACACTTACCATGAAAGCTCCTGTTGCAGTTTGTAGAGAACACAAACTCACTGCCAGCCATCACGGTTTGGAAATTTTACTAGCTCACATTTTGACGTGGGAAGGCAGACGACTAGGCTTTTCAGCATTTTTATTCATTAAAACAATCCCCAATGAGAACCAGTACACTCGTTTTCATTCTGGCAACTGAATCACAACACCTGATTCAAACATCCCTAATTTTACCCAACTGTCGATTCCATTTCCATGTCCAGGGTAACTATTACCTGATGGAAGAGCACAGGAATGCAGAGATGGGGATAAAGTAGTACATCTCACTCCCTCTCTTCCAATGCAGGGAGATGAAGCTTCGCATGAGTAACTTTGGCGTATAAGGTCTTTGGTGGATTAGAGCGCCAGTCTCGCCCCCACCGACCTTTTATTGCATCAAGTGGGTCTCAAACATGCTCTTAGAGACCTTGAGCAACAAGTAGCCCTATCTCCATTGTTTCGTACACATCATAAGCGAAGTCATGTAGATGGGTGGCGCCGACCTTCCAATCGTGCGACCGTGATGGGTGAATCTTGTGAGGACTATTCACAGCCACTGAGTTCAAGAAATTTGATGAGAACACCTATCTACGAGCGAGAAGCAGAGAACATTAAAGGACATGATGCTGTCATATTGACACACTCACTCATAGTTTATAATGGATAAAAGTGAACAACCGGATGTATCTAACGATTTCTTGCGAGTCACAAGCCACTCTGACAATGCCAACAGTTGCGCAAAATCCTCTACTCATCAAATAGTAAAAGGGTTGGGTGCGTCGTCTGAAAGTTTCAGTATCAATCAGTGAATGAGCTCTTTATTTGACTTAAAAACAATCCACAACTCAAGAAACCAAAAGGACGCCAAATAAGCAAGCTGACAGCCGAGAATTACAACCACACCTCAGCAAAGATACAATACTTAACTGACACCGGTAAGGCGATAAAATGGTGTGCTCAGACTTATTCAAACCTTGTCATCGTCAGACTAAGCACTAAAAAGTCACAGCACCTCTTCATTGAGAAGGACAATGTGAGCTTGAAAGATAAACTGTGGCTAGGGTGTAGAGCATATTTAAGTTGTAACCTAAAAGAAGCGAGCCAAATTCATAGCAACATTACTTGTTTTTCCTGTGAATCAAACTGTACAAAAAGGGAAAATATAAGAAGGGAGACTTTAAATAAACAAGGCGCAGAATGGGACAAGTAACACAAATGATCCAAGGAAAGAGGACACGTCTCAAGGCGGTTCGCAATTTTCGGCGCTCGCAGAATGAACCTCGGCACTAAAGACAAGAAAGATGAAAACCGAGGATGTATTGTTAGCACAGCGTTAAACAAAACAGGGCGCGGTGTGAAGTCCACCTTAAACGTCTACCAAGGCTAGAAGAAGAGGTCGTGAAGAAGGAAGAGGAATCGAGAAAGATCGAGCTAATAATGACATCCATCAATGTTTGATGATCCCCGTAGAGACAATGGGGTAAGCCATCACGAAAAGATGCCCGTAAATCTAAATCCAATACATTAAGGCGAAAGCCGTATCACCTCTCTTCTAGAAGTGTGACTAAGACCTCAAAGGAAACGAAAGCATACCCATGTCAAGAAACGCAAAGGCAGTAATTGGGAAAGCAATCTCCTCCAAACTCACGCGATGCACTGCGCCATTAAGCAATCCTCTCGGTAAGCCATAAACTTGCTGGAACTCATTTGCACACCATCAAACGCCGCGAAAGCATCATCTATCAATCGCAGTTGAGCTGCCCTCTCCTTCGACTTGGTTGCCACCAGATAAAAACGCTGTCTTGGCCCACCACTACTTCCTCCTATCGGCACATCAATAAAGGCGGAATTTGAAATTGAGGAAGCGTCAGAGGGAGAGAGCGAAGGAGGAACGACTTCAGAAGAGTTTGCTGCACCTTCGCGCCCACTACTACCGAAGTCAGTCGTCGTACGCGCGTTTGCGCCAACCTGCGTGAGACGCTGTTTGGTACGTGTGGAAATTGAGGGCTCAGAGAGGCCGCGGCGGCCATGGCGGCGACTACCGCTGCTCCTGTTACCAGCACTACTGCCTCTGATGATGGTGGAGGGTTTAAAATGGGTGGATGAGGTTGCATTCTCCGTGTACATGCGAATGTCGCGAGCTGGAGTTGAGGAACAGTGTACCTCCACGCAGTCGAGACCCAGTACCGAGGGTGGTTGTAGAGGATCGCTTTTGAATGGAAGGGGAAAAGTTATAAAAAGAGTCTTTATACTTATTACACCGTATAGACTTAAATTAGAGTTCTACTACGGTGAAATTAAGGCGGTGCGTGTAGGTACTCGCCTAACTACAATTAGTAGACCAGTCTAGTTTGAATGTAATAGAAACAGTAATGATGTACGTATGAATTAGCGTTTGAAGATGAGCAATTTCCTGCAAATAAAGGACATACGATTTGCATTGAAGGCACTAAGAAAACGAATGATAGCAGAAATCACGTAAGAGTTTCTAGGACTACTAAGCTTTTGTCAATGACGTTACTGTCAGAAGATTCCGACTCAGGATTCATCCAATACTGCAAG